AAGGACTTTTTAAGTCACTTTTAAGAAGCAGTTTTTGAGAAGTATCAGAACTGTGTTGTTCTTAAATTTGGGAAAGAATAAAAATAAAAGCAACACATTCCCATCATTCAGCACTGGCGGCAGCTTCCTCCAAACCGCACTGATTCGGCCCTATTTATCCCGTTGTTGGCCTTGTAGTAGTTTTACTTTTACGTTCATTTTCCTGGTCCTTTGCTGTATAGAGAAAGAGAATGAATGGTCAGCTGACAGGAGGTCTGGAAAGGACCCTAGACAACCTCTTCCTTTGCTTCAGAGGAGCCGGCGTGGCGTAGTGGTTAAAGCATTCAGGGCCAGTGGTTCAAACCCACCGACTGCTCTGTGGGAAAACAATGAGGCAGCCTGCTTCTGTAAAGATTTACAACGTTGGAAACCCTATGGGTCCATTCTACTCTGTCCTAAAGGGTCACTGTGGGTCAGAATCAACTCAATGGCAGTGACTAATTTTTGGGGGGTGGCTTTAGACTCAAAGCAGTCAGAATCTACTAAGGTAGTATTCAAAAACAACAAAACCAACCCTATTGCCCCCTAATCGATTCCAACTCAGAGCAACCACAAGGAACAGAGTAGAACTGAGTTTCCATAGACTTTCCAAGGCTGTAAATGTTTGTGGAAGCAGACAGACTGATGTATCTTTCTCACATGGAGAGGCTAGTGGGTTTGAACATTCGCCTTGCAATTAGCAGTTGAGCACTTAACCCCCGTGCCACCAGGGCTCCTTGTAGTAGATGTTAGAATCAAAGGATTTCTTTACTGTAGCAAGCTTGGAGGAGGGGAACTCACTGCTATTGAGTCAATTCCAACTCACAGCCACCCCCTTTGGGTTTCTAAGGCCATAAGTCTTTATAAAAGTAGATTGCCCAGTCTTCCTTCCATGGAGTGGCTGGTGGGCTTGAATCTTCTGGTGAGCAGTCAAATGCCTTAGGCACTACACCACCAGAGCTCCAAGCCAGAATTAGCCCTGATCAATTCTGTAGGCATGAAGTGAAATGAGGAAAAGCTCTAAGAAAATAAATTTTACGGGAAAAAGCCCTATGCTGTTAGTGCTATCTTTTTCAAAGTATGTATGAAAATTGTGTTATCACATAAGGCATATTCTTACATAGTATACTATGTGACCAAAGTATTCTTTTAACCTATGGTGGCAAGATGCCTAAATTGTAAGATCAATTTTAGAGGTATTGATCCTGGGGAGTTGGGTTTACAAGTTGTACCAGGTGACCAAGAGCGTCCTAGAGATAGAAGATGGAGGAAGACAGCCATCAGACAGCCTTCTAAGTCTACTTGGGACCCAACAAACCAGACGATGCCATCATGGTGCTCTTAGCAAAAGGAGGGAAGCTATAGGAGTTTTGATGAATGCGTCAATTTGTGGATTTGTGTAGAAGGGAGACTGGACATTGAAGAAGCAGCGACTGCCTAGAACAGACCGTCTCAGGACAGGAGGACAGCACAACATGGGCAGCTGCACCAGCCGCCGCCAGGGAGGCTTTCTCATGGCTGTGCTGATGCCAATTACCACCTAACACAGACCGAGACCCTGATCTTAAAGACAGGCAGCAACATCGGATGAAGGCTTGTGGACTCGCCCTTATTCTCCCTGGTGGCTCAGCTTCCCCGGGAGGCTGGTGAACCAGCTTTGAGCAACACTCTGGGTTGTTTTCTCTGTTCACAATACGTGTATTTGTCACTCTAAGAAGTAGCTTGATGGCCAGTCAACACCAATACATTGCATTTGCCCATTTGCCTTCTGTCTGGGATCAAGTGTGGCGTGCATTTCTGGATTTCTGAGTTAACCATGCTGTTTCATTGGTCTCTTTGTTTATCCTGCACCCGATACCACGTTGGCTTAATCGCTGTAGCTGTGCATGCGTCCTGATACTCTCTGGAGTAAGTCCTCCTGCTTTGTTCTTCTTCAGGTTGGCCTTGGCTCTACATGATCTTGGTACTTTCATAAAACTTAGAACAAGATCATAAATTTCCATTACAAAACCTGTTCAGAATCTGATTTGGAGTTTGTTCAGCTTGTAGGTTAATTTTGAGAGATTTGGGATCTTAACAAAAATTCCAAACCAGAAACACAATACATACATCTCTCCGTTTTGTACACTGACACTGAATCCGGGAATTTTGTATATTCTTTGATTAACTATAATAGCCCATTTTAGCACCCTTTTTGTATTGTGCATACACAATTTACAATAGCATTGTCTGTGTTTTCTCCTTTTAAATCCTTATGACCTATTTGCCTTACTATTGGGTAGATCTTGAGTTAGTGTTAAATACGGAGCTTTGAAATGGTTCTTCCTGGGTCAGCCCACCAACACAGTGAAGCTAGAAGTGTCCAGATCTGTAAAATGTACGTGAATCTGAATGGAAGCCAGAACAAGACAAATTAAGATTTGATACCCTACTGGAAAGGAACTCTGGTGGTGTAATGGTTAAGGCATTTGCCTGCTAATCAAGAGACTGGCAATTCCAACTCACCAGCCACTCTGTGGAAGGAAGATGGAGTGATCAGCTTCCATAAAGATTTACAGCCTTGGAAACCCAGTGGAGGTCACTATGAATTGGAATCAACTCTATGGCTTTGAGTTTGGTTTGGTGTATGAGCCCTGCTAGAAATTTAATTTCCCTCTTAGAAAACAAAAAGCAGGGTCTGTGTTACTTAGCAACAGCATCTCTTGACTGGAAGAATCAGAAACGACAATGACCTGCTCAAAGATGGCAGCTGGCTGCACCATTCTGAATGTGTGTTTCTCTCTACAGTCCTGGCAATATTCCAGTTTCCTGCATCAGGCTTCTGAAAGGGCTTATTATGCCTCTTCCAAACATCCTATTCCAGGGCTTTGACCTATAATGTTTACCACTCTGATTATTGATTTACTTCACCTAAATTTTAAAAAATTAGGATCTATTCCAATTTCACTCCTTCAGCCATGACTGAGCCATTTGAACTTCAGCCATGACTGAACCTGTTTGAACTGGTCCCTTATGCTCACTTCCTAACTCAGGGGAAACTTTTTAACATTTTACTATGAAGAATGTTTCTGTAGGCTTTTGAGGATATACTTTTTTTCAGATTGAAGAAATTGCTTCCATTTGACGTTGGCTAAGCTTTAGGAAACTGAAGCGGAAGATCTTCCTGGGCTCATCCTCTCATCATTAGCATGGTTTATCTTCTCTGTGCCTGTCGGTGTTTGATGTGATATCAAGAATGTACTACCAGTTCCTGTTTGCCCAGAGCATGTTTTCCATTACTTCATTTTCAAACTTTTTGTTTGTACTTATACTTGGGTGTGACTCCTGTAGGAAATTTATAACTGGATCTTATGTTTTAAATCTAATATGAAGATCTCTATCTTTTAATGGGTGACTATAATACATTTACATGTAATGTGATCATTGTTATTCAGGAACTGCTTTACACCACTTTGTTTTGTGTTTCCTGTTTATCAAACAATTTATTTGCTTTCTTTTTCTCCTTTATAGACTCTGTTTTCTATTGAATCATTTTTAAAAATGTATTGTTTGTGTCTCTGTCATCTTGGAAATCATAACTTCTGTTCATTCTTTTGGTGATTTCCTATAATTGCTAAAATCCAAATTTAATGAAATATTCTAACAAACTTGAACTTATTCAGTATTTCAGCTCTTTTCAAGAATATCTATACTCTTTAACTACTTGTCAAATTTCTCATTTAAGGAGTTGTTGTTGTTATGCTGTTGAGTCAGACTTGACTCATAGTGACCCCTCCTTTTATTTCCGAGGCAGTATCATTATGGAAGTAGATTGCCCAACTTCCTTCCAAGGAGTGGCTGGTGGGTTTGAACCATTAGCCTTCTGCATAGCAGTCACGTGCCTTAGGCACTATGCTACCAGAGCTCCTCATTTAAGGGGTAGACTTACTAATTATTCTTAAAGAAGCAGTATTATTCTTGTAAACACCAAAATAATTATGTTCTACCTCATAGGTAAGTAGGAGCTCTGGTAGGATAGTGCCTAAGGTACTTGACTGCTATCCAGAAGGCTGGCGGTTCAAACCCACAAGCCACTCCTCAGAAGGAAGGTTGGGCAATCTACTTCTGTAGTGATACTGCCTTGGCAACCCAAGGAGGGGTTGCTCTGAGTTGGGGCCAACTCAATGGCACATAACAACATCAACAACCCCATAAGTGATTAAATTTACCTAGATGTTTTTTATCAAATTATATGTTCCTTATTGTTTTTATATATTTGACTGACCTCTGAGTTTACTTTCATTCTTATTGAGGAAGATACTTTAATAGTAAACTGAGGGTCTCTAGGTCCTACATACCATTATAATTGTACATCCAGAAATGTTAATATTCTCTCCCTATTAACACAACAAAGATCTTTGGTAAAAGAAGACTACTGGAATTACTAAATAGTTGTTCTATGTAGATAGTTGTCTTTTATTATTGGAACTTTCTAATATTTCCTCTTAATCCTAGAAAAATTAAATTATAAAACTGTTTCTTTAGAGACAAATGGAGCTATGTTGTTGTTCTTAGATGCCACAAAGTTGATTCTTACTCATGATGCCATTTTGTAACAGAGTACACCTGCCCAATAGAGTTTCCCAGGCCATCATCTTTATGGGAGCAGATCTCCAGCTCTTTTTTAGGTGGAGCTGCTGTGTGGGTTCAAATTACCAAGCTTTGGGTAGCAGTCGAATGCTTTACCATTGTGCTACCAGGGCTCTTAAATGAAGCTGTAGCATCTATGAAAGACCGCAAAACTTATGAAGCCATGTAAGTACTATGAAACTTAGAGGCGAACTCACCGGCCTCAGGGAGGGATTGGACCCATGAACCACTGATTGTGGTCTCTGGCATCAATCCTCACCTATAATGAGCATATCATTTTCCCTTTTTCCTCTATGCCTCAGCTTTGAAATTTCCATCCTAACTCTGTCGTTGCATTTCCCTGTCACGAGAACATGGGGAGAAATCAGACTTGGATCACAGAAGTCATCCTGCTGGGGTTCCAGGTTGAGCCAGCACTGGAGGTTTTCCTCTTTGGGTTATTCTTGCTGTTTTATAGCATCACCATGATGGGAAATGGGACCATCCTGGGGCTCATCTGGCTGGATCTCCGACTGCACAGCCCCATGTACTTCTTCCTCTCGCACCTGGCCATTATTGACATGTCCTATGCCTCGAGCACAGTCCCTAAGATGCTAGCAAACCTTGTGATGCAGAAGAAATCCATCACCTTGGGTCCATGCATTCTTCAGACGTTTTTGTATCTGGCTTTTGCTGTTACAGAGTGTATGGTTTTGGTGGTGATGTCCTATGACAGATATGTGGCCATTTGCCACCCTTTGCAGTACACCATCATCATGAGCTGGAGAGTGTGTGCTGGTCTGGTTGCCACTTGCTGGGCATTTAGCTTCCTCCTGGCCCTGGTCCATGTGGTCCTCCTCCTGAGGCTGCCCTTCTGTGGGCCTCATGTGATCAACCACTTTTTCTGTGAAGTCCTGTCTGTCCTCAAGCTGGCCTGTGCTGACACCTGGCTCAATCAGGTGGTGATTTTTGCAGCCTGCGTGTTTATCTTGGTGGGACCCCTCTGCCTGGTGCTGCTCTCTTACACCCGCATCCTCTTTGCCATCCTGAGGATCCAGTCTGGGGAGGGACGCAGAAAGGCCTTCTCCACCTGCTCCTCCCACCTCTGTGTGGTCGGGCTCTTCTTTGGCAGTGCCATTGTCATCTACATGGCCCCCAAATCCAGCCATTCTCAAGAACAGAGGAAGATCCTATCATTGTTCTACAGCCTTTTCAACCCTATGCTGAACCCTCTGCTCTACAGTTTGAGGAATGCAGAGGTGAAAGGTGCTTTGCGGAGAGCACTGTGGAAACAGAGGTCAATGTGAGGGGTGATTTTGGACATCCTGTGTGTGAGCTTGGGCCTTAGGATTCTGTGTTCTGGATGCCATGTTGAGATCCAGAATTCACCACCCCTGTGCTCTCTATCCTTAGACTTCCCGTAAAATGAGAAAATAAATCTTCCTATTTAAGCCATATTAAGTGTGATCTTGTTGTTTAAAGGTAAAAACATCCTAAATGAGACATCACACAAAAAAGAGTGTGTGTGTGTTTGTGTGTGTGTTTGTGTGTGTGAGTGGTGTGTGTGTGTGTGTGTGTGTGAGTGGTGTGTGTGTGTGTATAGTATTTCTATATATATGTTTAAGGCTGGGGCCTGAGGTAGGGGGGTGTAGAGGGTTAGGAACAACTAAGGGAGACAAACTTGTCTGACAATTTGTCATCCTGTGGTGGCTTACCTGTTGCTGTGAGGCTGGAGGCTATGCCACCACAATGGACAGGTTTCAGCAGAGCTTCTCGGCTAAGACAGACTCGGAAGAAGAAAGAGGCCATCCACTTCTCAAAAAATTGGCCAGTAAAACCTTATGAATATCAGTGAAACACTGTCTGATACATTACTGAAAAACTTAGCAAATAGCCCTGAAACTTTATCCAATATAGTGCTGGAGGATGAGCCCATCAGGTGGGAAGCCACTCAAAATTTGACTGGGAAAGAACTGACTCCTTAGAGTAGAGACAACCTTAACAATACGGATAGAGTAAAGCTTTTGGAATGTCCATTGGCTGATGTGGCACGACTCAAAATGAGTAGAAACAGATGCAAACATACATTAACAATTGGAACATGGAATGTACGAAGTATGAATCTAAGAAAATTAAAAGTTGTCAAAAATGTATAAAGATCGATATCCTAGGCATTAGTGAACTGAAATGGACTGGTTTTGGCCATTTGAATCAGACAACCATATGATCTACTATGCTGGGAATGACAACTTGAAGAGGAATGGTGTGGCATTCATTGTCACAAAGACTGTTTCAAGATCTGTCCTGAAGTACGCTGTCAGTGATAAGATAATATCTATATGCCTACAAGGAAGACCGGGAGTTCTGGTAGCGTAATGCCTAAGGCACTTAACTGTTAACCAGAAGTCTGGCATTTCAAATGCACCAGCCACTCCTTGGAAGGAAGGTTGGGCAATCTACTTCCATAGTGATACCACCTTGGAAACCCAAGGAGGGGTTGCTATGAGTCCAGTCCGACTTAACAGCACATAACAACAACAACAACACAAGGAAGACCAGTTAATACTACTATTATTCAAATCAAGGTACCAACCACCAAAGCCAAAGATGAAGAAATTGGAAGATTTCAACCAACTTCTGAAGTCTGAAATTGACCGAATGGGCAATCAAGATGTGTTGATTATCACTGTGACTGGAATGCAAAAGTTGGAAACAAAGAAGGATCACTGGTAGTTGGCCTTGGTGACAGAAATAATGCTGGGTATCGCTTGATAGAATTTTGCAAGACTAATGACTTATTCATTGCAAATGCCTTTTTCAACAACATATTGTTGTTGTTGTTAAGTGCCGTCGAGTCGTTTCTGACTCATAGCGACCCCATGCACAGCAGAATGAAACACTGCCCAATCCCACGCCAGCCCCACAATCCCTGCTATACTTGAGCCCATCATCGCAGCCACCGTGTCAATCCATCTCGTTGAAGGCCCCCCCTCTT